AGGATTACAGGCGTGAGCCACCGCGCCTGGCCTTAAGCACTTTTCTTAACAACACTATATGAGTATAGTTAGTCTTACTGCAATCCCTGCTATACAGTTAAGGAAACTGAGGCTTGGAGAGGTTAATAAACTTACCCAAGGTCACACAGCCATTAAGGAACAGAACTAGGATTCAAACCCAGGAAATCTGACTCCAGAATCCACACCCATAACCATCACGCAAACTATCCTAATACATAGGGATCTGTTTAATGTTAGGCTCTAGTGAGGGAGTTTCCAATGATGAGTCATGAAAAAGGTAAGAGGTTGGGGGAACAGGTCCTATGTCCCCTCAGGGGTCTTTGGTCACAAGATGGGATGGAGCCTCTCTTTCATTTATTCATTCAACAAACATGGAGAACTGGAATTACCACAATGAATGATATGGCCATGGTTCATGCCCTCAAGGAACTTCCAGCTGGCAGGGAAAGCAATTGAACAGCAACGAAATAAATACAACAAATAGATTTTATGGTAAGTACCACAGTGCAGATGATCAGCATACTGTGATGGCCAATTAGAGTGAATGGGGGAAGGAGAGGAAAGACCAGGACTTAGCCTTGTCTGTTACAGTGACATTTCTAGACATACGGCCCCAGGACAGCAGAAGGCAAGCAGCTCAGAACCACTAGAAAGTCTTCCCACATCTGCCTGGATTAAAAGAGATCCCACATAATCCTCAAATGATGGATTTGGGCTACCTTGGGCTTATCCATGGGTTTTATTCAGCCCTGCCGACCAGCCCATGCTTCCGTCTTGGCAAGGTGGAGAATCTTAAATGGTACGGTGCTGGCCTCCAAAGCTCCACGAGGCAAAGAATCCACACCCTGAAGAGGGTGTGCAGTATAATGGCTAACGGTGCGGCGTGAAGCCAGCTCAGACCTCCTGGGTCCAGATTCCAGCTCGGTCATTTCCCAGTTGAGTGAAATTGGCCTCAGATTCCTCATCTGAACAGCTGTCTTTCAGAGGACAGCGAGAGGATCATTTTAGCACCCGGCACATAGTAAATGCTCAATAAGTAGGAGGTGAGATTATCAGAATGATGGCCTAGATGGCTGGAACAACCAGGGCTTATTCTAGGTATATACCCTCACTTTCCAGAGAAAGAAAGGAAGGTACTTTCCCAAGCTCCCTTAGCCTCTAAGTGATGGGTCTGGAACCAGAACCCCAGACCCTGACTTCCAGGGGGGACAATTCCTAGAATGAATACTCTTCACACAGCATCGCACTTGAACTTCCCAATCACCCCAAGATCCAGAAGTGGTTCTTTTCTCCTACATGATCTGCTCTCCCCTCCTCATCTCTTAGACTCCATTTCTCACCGATTCCCCCGTGTTCCCCGCTCCAGCCACACCAGCCTCCGCTGCTGCTCAGATGCGGCTATCACCTCCTGCCTCAGGGCCTTGGCCACTGCTGTTCCCTCTGCCTGGAACAATCTCCCCTGTCTCCTCACTTTATTCAGAGCTCTGCTCAAACCCACCTTATGTAAAATGATAAGATTGCTGGGATTTACTTCAAAACAATTCACTGGGGAGGAAGGGGAGGCAGAAAATAAAACAGGATTGGTTCCGCTTGGTAATGGTTGAGATTGAGTGTTGGGTACATAGGAGTCCTTTATACTATTTTTTTATTTCTGTTTGAAATTTTCTAAAATAAAAAAGGTGTTTTTAAAAAATTCATATCATTACATTATCCTCTATGTTTGCATAAGTTTAAATTTTTCCACAATAAAAAAAAATTTTAAATTCACCCTGTTTATTATTCTCTCTACTTTTGTGTATATTTGTAATTTTCCAAAATAAAAAGTTTTCAAAAAGAAAAAGACCTTATCAGAGGCCTTCCCTGACCGTCCCGTCAGCTGTCCCACCAACCCACACAGGCACACGCCACTCTAATCCCTTACCTTGCCTTTCTCTTAGCACCTACCACCACCCGACATGTTATGTGTTTATCTATTTATTTTCTATCTCCATGAACTAAACTGTCAGCTCCATGAAAAAAAGGACCTTGTTTTCTCTCACTGCTAGATCCCAGCAATCACAACAGTGCCCAACCCACAGTAAATATTTTTCAAATGAATATTTAGAGACGGAAGCCCATTGTACAGATTAGGAAACTGAGGTGCGGGCCGATTTAGCAACTTGTTCTAAGCTGCCCAGCAAGTCAGTGGTGGGGCCAGAACTTAAATGCTGATCTAGGTCCCTCTCGTCCTTCAGGACCCAAGAGCCTAGTCCTCATTTTTACACACACACACACACACACACACACACACACACACACACAAACACACACAGGTGATGTTACCTGGCGGCACATGACCCAGGAGCAGGAGAACCACAATGAGCAGAAGCAGCTGTGTCATGGCCACGGGGGTCCTGGGGAGGCTGCTGAGGAGAACGCAAGAGAGGAACGGAGCGTGCCGAGCCTCGCTGCCTTTGGCCCAGCCTTTATTGGGCTGCAAATAAAGGCAGGGCCGTGGGCAGCAGACCGAAGTGGGAGGATGAGGCCATGTGGTCCCCAGGCTGCTCGGGCTCTCAGCCAGGTATGTGGGAACTGGTCAGCCACACCCTCTGGAGGCTGTTGAGCTCTGAAGCTGGGGGCAGAATTTTCTTTTTCTTTCTTTCTTTTTTTTTTTTTTTTTTTTGAGACAGAGTCTTTCTGTTGCCCAGGCTAGAGCTGCCCGATTTTTGTTCACTGTAACCTCAAATTCCCAGGCGCAAGCGATCTTCCCACTTCAGCCTCCTAAGTATCTGGGACTACAAGCATGGGCTACCACAATCAGCTAATTTTTTTTATTTTTTTCAGAGACAGGGATCTCACTATGTTGCCTAGGCTGGTCTTGAACTCCTGGCCTTAAGTGATCCTCCCATGTTGGTTTCCCAAAGTTCTGGGATTACAGGTGTGAGCCACTGCACCCAGCCTAGGGGACGGAATTTTCAGAGGCAATGCCTGGGGTCAGAAACTGGAAATCTTCCCCACTTAGAGAGTGGGAAAAGCCTTGACTTGACAGAGCCCTGGTTCGATCTCGGCATTTCCCCCTAACTGCTGTGAAACCTTGGACAAGTCACTTAACCTCTGCAAGCCACGGGCTGTTGTCTATGAAATGATGACAAGCCTCCCTTGCAACGTTAATAAATGAGGGTTGCCCTTCCTAATGCCAAGGAGATGGAACCAGAAATTACTGGCCTATTGAAACAAATATGTATTTAGATCTACTCTAAAAATGGGAAGAGTAATAGTATCTACCTCACAGAGAGTAATGGCTACCTATCTTGTTTAGAGGATTAAATTAAATAATACAGTGGCTCTCAAACTGTGGTTCCCAAAACAGCAAGCAGCAGCAACACCTGGGACCTTTTAGAAATGCAAATTTTCTAGCCCTACCCAAACCTACTGAATCAAAAGTACTGGGATGGGGTCCCAGCAAGCTGTCACTTAATAAGCCCTCCTGGTGATTTTCACATGCTGCACTGCTAAAGTTTGAGAACCACTGAGATAATAAATGCACAAAGTTTAGAACAGTGTCCAGTACACAGGAATCTAAGTTGCATCATGAAAGATGAGTTGGGGGAAGGGCATCCCAGGCAGAAGGAACAGAGTGTGCCTGAAATAGCGGGGCATGGGCAGAGCAAGGCTGGCTGCGAGGAGAGGTGGAAAAGCCCCTGCAGAGGACATCATGGGCCTTGAATGCCAAGTTCAGGCTTTTGTATCCTAGACAACCAAAAGGTTTTTAGCACAAATGTAACCTGTTCAGGTTATGGCTTTAAATAAAGAAAGTGAAACCCAAAGAGGCGAGTTGACTTGCCTAAGTTCACACAGCAAACGAGTTGCAGAGCTGGGACTGGAAGCCAAGTCACCTCACCCCCAGACAATGAAGGGTGCTGCACCCCTCACAGCCCATCTGGCAGGTAAGAAAGGGAAGCTCAGAGGGCCAAGCCACGGAAGGAAGCCAGGCATGAGAAGGTTCAGCATCTGCCCAAGACCTGCGGGTCTTGAGCCAGTCTGTCCAGGGCTGCCGTGGGAGTTCTTCCAACCCGGATGCCTGGACCCCCTCAGCCATGACCATGAGCCCCACCCACAGGTACAGCCTGGTCTCCACGGGTCGGTACATACACACACCCCAATCTTCAAACCTAAAGGAAGGCACCCTACTCAAAGAGCCTGGATTCTAGCCTATTGGATAGCCAACTTCCCTTCTCTTACAAGATTAGTCTCTTTCCTCCTCCTATATGCCTGGGAAGACAAAAAAAAAAAAAAACCCCGAGTGAGTGATAGAAAGGGACAGTAGGCTGAAAGCAGAAACCTGAGTCCCAGGCCCAGCTAAGCCTCAGTTGGCAAATGAATGAATGAATGAATGATGCCAAAATAAGATACTCAATGCAGACTTCCTGAACTCTCTTTTCCTCCAAGCCACCTCCCAGAATTAATTCCCCATCCAGAGCCGAGTTTCTCAAAGTGGAGTCCGCCAGCTATCTGCATCAGGATCATTTGGGGCACTTGTTTAAAAGGCAGACTCCCAACCCCGCTCCAGGACGCTGAATCTGCCTCTCTTGGAAGGTGGGACCTGGGAATCTAAACAATTAACAAGTTCCCCAAGTGCTTTTCCTGAGGGATAATGCTGGTGCGCCCATTGACGGAGTGGACAGATGTGGACGCAGATGGCGATCCAGACCCAGGAATGCAGAGCTCCCGTCCTTCCCCTCTCTGGTCCTGCACCCCCACTCACCCGAGGACAGGCATAGGACTGGAGGCCCCAGGTCAGGGGAGCTCTGCACTCTTAGAAAAGTCATCGAGCGGCCAAGGCCTTGGGGCGGGGACCCCGGGGCTGCCCTGATGGGGCGGGGCTGGATGGGGCGGGGTCGCGGCTCCTCCCCTGGCCCAGGCGGCGGGGCGGGACCAGCCGGAGGGGCTGTGCGCGGAGGCGGGTGGTACACCCCGGAGCACCCAGCAGCGGAGGCGGCGGGAGACCCTGGACCCCTCCTCACGGCCAGGTAAAGCTCCGTGCAACTCGCCGCCAACTCGCTCAAGTTGGAGCAGAGTTCGCCTGGCGCCTGCACGGGGGCTCTGCAGCGCAGGCAGAAGCAGGGGGGCCTCGCAACAGCGTCCCGAGGGTGAGGGTCTTCAGACCTGGGCCCGGAGGGTGGGGTAGCCCCGGACAAAGAACCGCCTCGCCAGGGTCAAGGATTCATACCTGGGATCCCGGGCTGGAAAAGCTGGGACCCAGACTCCAGGAATGCGTTCCCCGGGCCCTATGGTCTCCCCTCCCCGTCCCCTGCCAGGACCCTGTCCTGTCACCAAACCAGGAACCTGGCCGGCTGGCAGCTCCTGCCCCCAAAAGCAGCTGGAGGCCGTAGCGCCAGCCGCTCCTGAATTTTTCACGCAGGGGGCGGGCCGGACACGCCGTTCCCATGGCACCAGGGCACTCGGGTTACAGCCGGAGGGAGCCCCCAGAGCCCCCTCGCCTTTCTGGGGTGCCAGCCCACCCCGTCCTGCCTCTTCCTCTGACCCCATGGGATTGGGCAGCGGAAGTAAATTCCCGGGGGCCCTCAATTCTCCTCTGCACCCCCAACACAGAGCCCTGTGAAAGAGACATGGGGAAGGGGAGGAGGGGGCAATTCGGATCCTTTCACAGGGAGGGGCTCAGGTTCTGAATGGGAGGGGCAGATTGTGTACATGGGGAGGGTGTGCCTGTGTGGACACCCCACCTCGCGGCTGCCCCCCTGCCCCGCTGCCTGTCATCCCCGCGTAGGTCATCCTTGGGCATGGGAAATGGCCTCTGGGTGTGCATGGCCGCGTGTGTTCACTGCCCCGCTCATCCCTTCCAGCGGGACCCAGGCGTACCCTGAGCCTGAAGCCCCCACCCCACGGAGCTGAGGTGTCTCCTCCCATTTGAACAAGAGGGGGCTCTGGAGGAAGCCCTTTCAGCAGCTCGTCAGGACCCTGTAGAAGAAGGGCTCAAAGCAACCAGCTCACCGCCCATTCCCCCTTCTCTCGGAAGGAAGGAAAGAAGGAAGGAAGGCAAGAGCAAAGCCCCTTCTACCAACCATGACACTAAACACCCAGCAGGAAGCAAAGACCCCCCTGCGCCGGCGGGCCAGCACTCCACTGTCCCTGTCCCCCAGGGGCCGCCAGCCTGGCCTCCTGAGCACAGCACCCTCCACTCACTCGCAGCATCCCCGGCTGGGCCAATCAGCCTCCCTCAACCCTCCCACCCAGAAACCTTTGCCTGCCCCTGACGACTGGTCCTCTGAATCCAGCGACTCTGAAGGCTCCTGGGAGGCCCTGTACCGTGTGGTGCTGCTTGGAGATCCCGGCGTAGGGAAGACCAGCCTGGCCAGCCTCTTTGCAGGGAAGCAAGAACGGGACCTCCATGAACAGCTGGGAGGTAGGGGCCCTGTGGGCTGGGCTGGGATGTGGTGAAAGGAGTGAAAGCTCTGTCACCAGGGGCACAGGGCTGCCAAGAACAGTTGTACAAGTCATGTACTGTTCAACTCTAAGGGGCATCACTCACATAGACTATGAAGGGAATGAAGCCCCCCTAGAGTTGTTCAGGGCACAGCCAGCACAGTGGACAATGAGAGGGAAATTCCTTGAATAGGATGAGAATTTTGCCAATTTTTCATGGATGAGAAGTATGTGATTCATTCCATGTCATAAGGGGAGCAATTCTGAATCCCATGAGTGTCAAGAAATGGTGGACTTCCACCCAGCTCAGAAACCCCCAGGCCCAACTGCCCCTGACTCTCAGATCCTCCCAGTCCCATAGACACCCACCCATGGCCACCATCACCTACAGCAGAACTAAGATCCTCCCCAGAATGGAGACTCCCAGGCCCAGGGTTGCTTTATTCCCAAGAAATGCAGTGAGCTGAGAGGGTCAGGGGCCCCAGGATGATGGGGTACAGGGACAGAAAAAATGAAGACAGGCCCCTGAAGGATTGGCTGGGAGGACATGGGGCGAGTGGGGATGAGTGTTGGTTAAAAGTAGTCAAAAGGTGAGGACACTCTGGCACTGTGGCCACGCCCTTCTCCAGCCTTGACCCCTTTTCCAAGAGTGAGAACCCATACATGTTACAGATGGGGAGACTGAGGCCCAGCGAGGATAACATGACCTGCCTGAAGCATACGCTAAGCCAGAGACAGAGCAGGACTGGGAGAATTCCCAGCCCACCTTTAACCCCACTACCCCACAGTCCTTCAATCAACCAAACCAACTTTCTAGTACCTTCTATGTGCCAGGTCCTATGCTGGCAGCTGGGGAGACATGGGCTCCTCATGGAGCTCTTGACCTACCAGGAGAGACAGACATCGACCAAGTGTGGTGAGCACTTCCAAGGAGAAGTGGAGGGGGCAATGTGACCAGAAAGGGAGGCTAGGGAACCCCACGCCCTCCCTGGGCCTTCCCCTCCTCCCTGAGATCCAGCTCTTCCCTCGGTTGCAGAAGATGTGTATGAGAGGACCCTCACAGTGGATGGAGAGGACACCACACTGGTGGTCGTGGACACCTGGGAGGCCGAGAGACTGGTATGGCACTGCAAGCAGGATTTGGGGGGAGGGGTGCTAAGCCTAATACCAGTCTCCTTCCTGTCCCCTCCTGGGATCCTACAGAGCAGGGGCAGGATGGGGGCCATCCTCAGCAGCTCCCAAAAACCCACAGCTCCTAAGCAGCCTTTCCGACCAAAATCAGAAGACCCTGGTGACCATGACCCCTTTTCTCACTCCACTGATCCCCTCCCAACAACCAGGGCACAGCATGCTGCTCCCCTTGCAGACGTCCCCATCGTTATTACCACCCTAACTCACCCCACCCACCCACATTGTGCAGAAGAAGGAACACTGGATTTGGCACCAAAATGCCTAAAGCTGAACCCCCTGTCTTGTTCTTACTAGTTGTGTATCTCTGTGCAATTGGCCCACCCACTCTGAGCTTCAGTTTTCTCATCTGACAAATGGGTCAGTTATTCCTGCCTCTCTTATCAGCTGGTTTTTAAAAGTTCTCATACAGTTTCAGAGGTGAGTCCGGTTTGGAGCATGAAAAAATGCTGAACAGGAGTAAAGAATTGTAAATGATAATTCTTATTAATTATAACTTGGTAGCTAGTGAAAAAGGAAACCAAAGGGTGTCCTTCCCTAAACCTTTCCAGAGCAGGAAGAGAGCAACAGTCAGGAACCTGTCCCTATTGTGATTTTCTTATCTTGTTTGGGTTTTCTTTTCTCTTACTACACAGGTAATACATGCTCATGGTAGAATTTTGAGGAAATACACCTAAGCAAAGATAAGGATCTAAAAATCACCTGGGATCCCATTTCTCTAAGGAGTAGGCCCTTCCCCTAACCCTCAGGGAGGCCCTGCCCATGGAGCGGGGCTTAGAAGGACAGAGTTGGGTGATTGACAAGAGTGGTTGACAGCTCCCCTGATAGGCCCAAAGAATAGGGATTAAGGAGCTATGTGGTCAATTTCTTTTAACAAGCAAAATAGGAAACACAGGCCAGGCACAGTGGCTCATGCCTGTAATCCTAGCACTCTGGGAGGCTGGGGTGGGAGGATCACCCGAGATCAGGAGTTCGAGACCAGCCTGAGCACGAGCAAGACCCCGTCTCTACTATAAATAGGAAAATTATCTGGGCGTGGTAGTGCACACCTGTAGTCCCAGCTACTCGGGAGGCTGAGGCAGGAGGATTGCTTGAGCCCGGGAGTTTGAGGTTGCTGTGAGCTAGGCTGACACCACAGCACTCTAGCTCAGGTGACAGAGTGAGATTCTGTCTCAAAAAAAAAAAAAGGAAACACAAGTCCAACTGAGCATGATGATGATGCTGATGATGACTGTCATAACAGCAGCCAACATTTATGGAGCATCCTCCTCCTAAGTGTCAGCCCCTGGGCTAAGTACTGCATATATACTATGAATTCAGTCAAAACAAAAACTATCGGTGAGCCTTCTGATACCCATTCCACTGATGAAGAAACTAAAGCTCAGAGATGTTAAATACGTAATGTGTCTGGAGCTCTCCAAAAGCAAATGGTATTCAAACCCAGATTTATGAAACCCCAGAGACTATACTCTTACACACTAGGACTGCCCCCCGCCAGAAGCATCCTCCTGAACCTTCAGCTGAGGTTTCACTCCTTCACCAATTCATTCATTCATTCAGAAATACTTGCTGGGTGTCTATCACGGGCCAGGATGCTGGAGACACAGCAGTGAATAAGGTAGACATATCCCCTGGCCTCATGGAGCTCACATGCTGGAAAGGGAGGGCCTACTTTTTGGTGCAGTTGAGAACTCTATGGGGTGGTGTCCAGTGAGTTAAGGAGAGTGATCAGATTGGGAGTCCCACTGGGGAGACAGGGGAGGAAGGGTACTGGACTAGAAGGCAGGAACCAGAACTCTACACCCAGCTTGCTGTGTTCTTGAGCAAGTTTTCTCCTCTTTCCAGGACTTTGGTTTTCCAACCAGTAAAATGAGGAAACTAGACCAGTTTTCCTGGTCAGTGACTTGAACGGAGGTCCCAAAGAGGGTCCAAGCAGTAACAGCATTATTGGATTAAGCATCTGTCCTTTTCATCTGTGGGCTAGATGGTACTCTGAAGTCAGAGCGGCTGAATCTGACAGAATTGGGTGGGCCTTTGGCTCACCCAGTAATGCCCTAGGTTGGCTGACCATCAGGGTCACCTGGAGAGTATTAAATATCAAATTCTCAGTCCTCACCCCAGACCTAAGCAATAAGAAGCTCTAAAAGTGAGGCTCTAGAATCTATATTTTTAATCACACTCCCAGTGAGTTCTTACCCACCAATCCACGCACCGACCAGCTTTTGTAATCCTGATGCACAGAAAAACCTCTATAAATATTTGTGCGATGAATGACCTCCCGAAGTCAGCCTCCTGTCCTCCCTTCTTTCTTTTCCTTTTTTCTCTTAATTCTGGACTGCAGAAGCCCTAAAGAACTTTCTGGCAAGGCCAAACCCTCCTCGGAAACCAGACAAAGGAGCTGAACAAGCCTAGCCAGAAGCCTCCTTAGCAGAAAAGAGAATGAAGTAAATGTTTTGTCTCCAAATGCCCTGCCTGCAGAAGTCTCAATGAATGAGACAACACAATGAGATAGTGTCGTTAGCCCAATTTTTCAAGCAGAGAAACTGAGGCTCAGAGAGAATCAATGATTTTCCCAAGGTGACACAGGGAATTACGGCAGAATTTGTCCCTCAGACCTGTCCAAAGTATAAACCTCAGCCCCATCCCACCCATTAGACCATCCCAGCTCCACCTTTCTCAGCCAGGGTGTACGCACCCTCTGAGGATGGGCCTTGGGTCCCTCCCCTACAGGATAAAAACTGGAGCCAGGAGTCGTGCCTGGAGGTGGGCAGTGCCTACGTCATCGTGTACTCCATCGCTGACCGAGGCAGCTTTGAGAGTGCCTCCGAGCTCCGCATTCAGCTGCGGCGCACACATCAGGCGGACCACGTGCCCATCATCCTCGTGGGCAACAAGGCAGACCTGGCCCGCTGCCGGGAAGTCTCCGTGGAAGGTGAGCCCTCCCCTCCACCTCCTCCTCTTCCTCTGGCCCCTCTGTCACCGGGGCCCTCCAGTGCTCTTCATCTCACTGACTGCCCCTGCCAATCAGCCCCCACCCTGGAGCTACTTGCTTAAGCCTGAAAGCCAAGAACCATTCTTGCCTCCCTTCTCATGCCCGCCTCCCACAAACCAGTCCCCGAGTCCCATGAGGCCCACCTCCATTAATCCCACATCCCCTTCCCTCCACGCCCACAGCCTCTGTGCTATCCTGGCACTTCCACTTTAGCCAGTCCCGGTACTTCTCAATCAGCCCCCCTTGCCAGCTGCCAGAGTTTTCCAGAACCACAGCTGATCTTGTCACTTCCCTGTATTCCCCGATGGCTCCCCCATGCCCTTAATCAGAGACACTCTATCCACCAGATATGATAGGCCCAGTGCCTATAGGCTTTTCAAGGCCTTACATTGGAGAACTGAAAGACCATTATTGGGCCCAAAATACAGTGAAAAATTAGAAATTCAAATTTCACAAAGCTTTGTCTACAAAACATAATATTGTGTCTGCCAGCAACCACAACCCAAAACTTCTAATGTTATATGTAGATTATTTTTACAATGGGGTTGGAAATATTTTATTAAGTTTAACATCAGATGGAGCCCATAACAATCTTAAAATGGTACTACTCACAGAGTAAAATCTTTAGAATATGGAAACTGAGACCCCGAGAGAGAAAGCCAGTTCCAGAGAGTCACCAGCCACTGAGGACTAGGATTCAGGCCCAGTGGCATCCTGGAGGTGGAAGACCGTATGCTTTGCGGACAGATATCCCAAAAAACTGCAATGAAATCCCCAGGAGATTTTTGTTAAAACACAGATTTCCAGACCTCATCCCAAACCTACAGAATTAGAATCCCTGAGGGTGGGCGGGGGAATTTCTATTTTAACAAGCTTCTCCAGGTAATTCTGATGCACCTTTTAGCTGCATCTAATTTCCGATTAGACCTGTTGGCTGACATTCAACCTGGCCTCTACCTAGTCCCGGCCGCCCTGTCTTCCCAGCCTCATTCTGCTACCAGTATCAGTCACGAGCTTGTAAACTAATTCCTCAAAGCCCAGTGTGATCTGTCCCTGAGTCCTCCAACATCGGTACCAGATATGCGTACAGGAAAAGTTGCTTTCCATTGAGACTGAACGCACCTGTTCCCACTTTTATCTCCGCGTTCCGGTTATGGCTCCACCCCGCTCGCCTGACCCCGCCCCCGCAGAGGGCCGCGCCTGCGCCGTGGTGTTCGACTGTAAATTCATCGAGACGTCGGCCACCCTGCAGCACAACGTGGCGGAGCTCTTCGAGGGCGTGGTGCGCCAACTGCGCTTGCGCCGCCGGGACTGCGCGGCCCGGGAGCTGCCCGCGCCCCGACGGCGGGTCAGTCTCGGCCAGCGCGCTCGCCGTCTCCTTGAGCGCCTGACGGCCCGCAGCGCCCGCCGCCGGGCACTTAAGGCCCGCTCCAAGTCTTGCCACAACCTGGCCGTGCTCTGAGGACATCTGCTTTTCTGGGGGTGGCGGGTCACTGGGAGAGCATTCTGGGCCCCACCGACGCCACTGAGGGGCAGAAGCGCCGTTACCTAGGGCCGGCATCGTGGGCCTTGCTTGCCCGCCGCCCCGATGAGCGGATCATCCCCCACGGCCAGAGCCTGAGGACCCCCCTGCTCCAGAGAAGCGATGGACAGACATAGGGCCGAAGCCCCAAGCTGGGCACAAAGTAGGGTTTTTTACATGGTGGATGTCTTTTTGTAAAAATCTTCCTTGTCCCTGAGGTCTGGCCAACCCCCAGAAACCCCTCAGTAAAGCAGACCAGAAGGATGTCCCTTCTGAATGCCCAGATCTCTCTGGGAGTGTTCCAGGATGTCCACCTCCTGCCCTCCCGTCTACACTGGCTACAGACTGGTTTAGCCTGCTGGCCTGGGTGTCAGGGCCAATCAATAAAGTAATAGGATCATTTGTGTTCTCAGGCTCTTCTCCCAATCACTGGTTACAGTTCCTGCCCCAGTTCTTTGAGAGAGACAGTGGATCACAAACAACCACAGTTCAGTGTGATGACCTGCTATTTTCTTATTAACCCATTTTTTAGATTGTAAATTCACAAAATATCTGGAAGGAATGTCAGCACTCACAATGGCAATATAACTGCTGTTGTTAGGAGCTGACTGTGTACCAAGCTGTCCCTGTCACAACTATTAGTTAATCTTCACAACACCTGGGAGGAGGGTGTTACCATTAACCCCATCTTAATAATTAGGAAACTGAGGCACAGGACAGTCAGTGAAGGCTCATGCCCGAGATGTTACAAAAAGCTATAGAATCTTGGGGAGATGGACTTAAAAACAGAATGTGGCACACAGTTTAAAGGAGGAGGCATAACTCCATGAAAGCCAATCTATTAATCCCCAGGATAAACCACAATTTAGTCCAACTCACTCATTTTCCAAATGTGGAAACTGAAGCCTACAGAGGGGAAATGGGCACCCTGGGGTCACCCAGCCAAACCCTGGGTCTCCATTTGGCTGTGTGGGAGGAAGGAGGGAGTGAGGCGTCCAGCCTGGCTGGGGACAGGGCTGGGTGTTGGAGATCAAGTCAGGAGTTTCCAGCCGGAAGGGAAGGGGTGTCACTACTTTGAGAGGAGAACAAGATGCAGACCGTTTGGACCATCGTGTCCCTGATGCCTGACACCCGTGCCCGCCCGCAACCAGCTACCCAACCACTCCTACCCAGACACCTCCCCTGCGGTGCTCAGGAGTGAGCCATATCCTCCAGCTATCACTCCCCCCACCCCAGTCTTGCCAGCGGAGCACTGATGGCGCTTCTTGCTCCATCCCAACCCCAGGCCAGGGAAGGGAAGAGGAGGAAGGTCTTTCCCCCACCCCAAGTTGTCTCTGGCCTGCGGTCGAGGGGAGGGGCTGTATCTGTGGAAAGTTGGCAGAGGCAGCCGGCAGCCGGGAGAGTGGAAAAAATGATATCAAACCCGGAAAAATGCAGGCCGGATGGAGGGCTGGAGTCGGCCCTGGGAGGTGAGAGGGAGGGAGAAAAGGGGGAAGGAGGAGGTGCGGGCAAAGAAAGGAAGAAGGGCTAGGGAGAGAGTGCAGGAGCCGGTTTTAAAAAAATGAGGACAATCGCCTTCATTCCCTCCTTTCTTATCTACAAATATTTATCCAGGGCCTGCTAAGTACAGGGCACAGTGCCAGGCTCTGGGGCGATGCGGTGAACAGAAGGATACTGGCCGCTCCCAGTAGCGCACAGCCTGGCGGGGGAAGCAGACTAGAAAACAAATAAGTGAATAAAATATTACAGACTAAGAAGGGGCTGAAAATTAGGGTGGTCAGAGAAGGCCCTGAAGGTTATTCAATCCAATCCCCCTCTATTGATAGATGGTGAAACTGAGGCCAGAGAGAGAGAGCTTACCCCAGCTACTAGGAAGGTAGAAGAAACAGTTGAAACTAGGATTGGGGAGGAAGGGAGGAGGGAAGAAAGCAAGAGCTGGGGCAGACCTGGGTGCTGGAGAGAGTACACAGCTAGCCGGACAGCACAGCACAGTGGTTGAGGGCCTGAACCAGGAGGTCTGTGGGTTCAAACCCTGCTCCCCTCCATCTCTCTGTGCCTTTGTTTCCCCATCTATAAAATAGGATTCATGACAGTTCCCTCCCTCAGGGTTGTTATGAGGATTAAATTATTTAAGATATATAAAGTGCTTAGGACAATTCCTGTGTCTAGGAAGATTCAATAAATGTTGGCTCCCACTATCATACCTTAAGTCCTTGGGTAAACCAGGGTTTGTTATGGTTAAGATGCTCTGAGACTATGAAGACCTGCTTGGGAGTCTTTGCCTGGCTATGACACTGACGGACTTTAGGAAAATCTCCTTCCCTCTTGAGCCTCAGTTTCTCCATCTGTAGAACAAAAGGATTGACTCTGAACTTGTATCATATATTTGTGTACTCACGTGTTTACTTTCTGTCTCCCCAAAGGATGGGAAGCTCCATGAGGGCAGGGCCCTCACTGCTGCTCTGTCCCCACCACCTGCAACAGCACCTGGCTCATAGTAGGTGCTCAGTAAATATTTGTTGTATGGATTAATGAACCGACCTGTAAAGTGGCCCTTCCCATCCTGACCTCTCTAATTCTAGGTGTCTTTGAATAAGAAATGGCTGGGAAAACATGTGAGAAAACTACAATCTCCCTCCCAGGGACACAGCCCATTGTAGTGTAGGAAGTTCTTTCTCATCCATTAAAAAAAAAAAAAAAGAAAGAAAGAGCTAAGTTTGTTTTAACTCTTTCTGTGTTTATTGTTGGGCCTCACACTACTTGTTTGGTGCACATTTTCTCGTTTCATCATCACCACAACTCTCTACTTTATGGGTATTTAATAGATGAGCACACCGAAACTAAGAGAACCCAAGAAATTTGTCCAAATCCACAGAGCAAGAAAGGGCCACATTCAGATCAGTGGTGGAGAGTCAGGCAAGAACTGCTATCTTAATTGTATAATTGGGGAAACTGAGGCCTGGAGAGAGATGAATTGCCCAAGCACAAGGTCATGTAACAGTAACAGCAAATAGTTACATCATTCTTAGTATGTACTAGATGCCATTCTAAGTGTTTTTCATACATTAATTCATTAAATCCTCAAAACTGGTAATATTCTCATCACCATACCAGTTTTCAGATGGAGACACTGTAGCACGGAGAGATTCAGTATCCTGCCAAGTTTGCACAGTTAGCAAATAGCCCTGCCAGAAATCAAACCAGGGAAGTCTAGCCCCATGGTACTAAGGGCTCCTCTGTATCGCGCCATTTGTTGGTATAGCAAGCCCAGAGCAGGCTGGTAGTAAAGGGAAGGTGTCTTTTTCCTGCCCTGCTGCCTGGGTTGGGGGCAGGGCAGAGAACAAAAGTACATTGAGAGTGTCCTCAGCTGCCAGCTGGGACTTTCCACCTTGAAGGGAGGATACTGTTATGGAAAAAATGATAAAGCTCTAGAAAGATGAATACCTCCCCAGAGGCCCCCAAGTCTTCTTAGAATCCCTCCTCCTGCTGTGGAGGAAGGCCGCAAACCCTGCTGGCCTGGTCCAGATGAGAGGAAGGCCACCTGCATCCAAGACACCCCAGCCGGGCTTCTCAAATACTGAGCCCCACTGGCCTTGGTGGAAAGTTCCAACATTCTCAGCCAGGGCATGAAGTTTCCACTCAGGGACCCCCAAGTAACCAGGTGCAGGCTAGAGCTCCCTGTCCTTGGATGATGGAAAATACACATCTCACAGGGCCCAGCTCCCTCCTTCCTTCATTGAGCAAACATTGACAACGGTGTGGGCTCTGTAGGAAGGTAGGGAGTACAGAGAGGGTCACAGCTGGCGGATCCAGAAACTTTGAAGTTCCTGCCCTGGCCAAGAAGGGAAAGGAAAGGTAAATGAGGGGCAAGGATTGTGGAAAATTCATCTACAACTGCTTTCTACTGATTAAGAATCCCTCAAGTCTGCCATGACTACGTGTGACATTAGGCAAATCAAAATATACAGAGTGAAGGGATTAGGGCAGTTTCTCCATGCGATTGTCTCTGTCTCAAGAATATTTAACTGTTCTAGTTCAACAGCTTGAAAAAATATACAAGTTCAGTTTCAATTTGAGTGCTGTTCCCTGCAGTTCAGGGTTCAGTTAAAAATAATACTAATGATGGGATGGGAGCACTGGGTGCAGCAATGTGTGCAGTTCTCCCCAGTTCCATCTGGTTCAAGTTCAAGGCTAGGGTGTGTGTGTGTGTGTGTGTGTGTGTGTGTGTGTGTGTGTCGTGGCTTACATTCCCAGGCTTCGTAGATGTGACAAGATATTGGTAGGAAAGCACAGGATTTGGAACCAGAAGAAACCTTCATTCAATCCCATCTCGGGCACTTGATCTCTGTGCAACTCGGGAACCCCCCCTCCTTCATCTTGAAATCGGAGATGGTAATTCTTATCCCATAGGATTAAAGGAGGTTTTTAATACTTAGGAAAGCACTACTATATGCCACTGGGTAATTTACTTCACCTCTCTAGGCCTCAATTTTCTCATCTGGAAAATGGGCATATTAATAGTATTTCTCTCTAAGAGTTGGTGTGAGAATTCAATCGGATTAGTATTTGTTAGCATGATGCTTTGCACACAGTAAGTGCTCAATAAATTGCAGCTATGAGGCCAGGCGAGGTGGCTCATGGCTGAAATACTAGCACTCTCGGAGGCTGAGGCTGGAGGATCGCTTGAGGCCAGGAATTAGAGACCAGCCTGAGCAAGAGTGAGACCCCATCTCTACAAAAAATAGTCTTGTTGTGATGACTACCTAGAGAAGGCCCTACATTAAAGGGGCTCTCCACCCAGTAGGATGCCAGGGGCACAGAGACGCTGTCCCCAGCATCTGCCCTTGCCTCCTTCCCTCAAGTCCACGCTTCTCCCAAGGAGCTCCACTTCTTCAAACCTCCACTGAGCAAATCTCTATGCATCTTTTAGAAAACCCTACTCCCTCCCCACAAATACAGGTCTTGCCTCAGAGTTCTCCTCCTCCCCTAGCAGTGCCTCTCAGAAGCCTGAGTTACTGGGGCTGACTTAAAACCCCAGGTCCCCCAGTAGGGCAGTCAAGGGTGCTCTAGCTCTTTCCATCCTAAAGAACAGTCCAGAGTGAGTGTAACCACTCCAAATCCAGTCATCTTTGAGGAATGCCCCACTCTATAAATGAGGATAGATGCTTTTGCGCATAATCGTCCAGGAATCAATCGTTAAATCTTACACACACTCACACACTCACACACACACACTCACACACACACGTGCACACACGCACTCACACATTAATTCCAAAACCAAAACCCGGGATCACTAACTCAAACACTCACA